TTAATGACAAGAAAAGATTACAACTACATCTATTTCTAGATTTTCTACACATATTATTTAACACAATCTACTCTATCGTCACATTTGAATTTACATCTCAGGATCTGACATTCAAAAAGATACAAAAAGGACCACCATACATATCATTTATGTGATATGAGTTATCCAACGCTTTGTTGAATGCGTTTTATCATGAATGCTTTTATATTCTAGTCCTAAAGCTCATCAGGTCTTCTTTTTAATTTTTAAATCCGCGGCCACAGTAATTTTAAGACTTGAGCGTCAATGCTATTTTGCAAATTTGAATCTCTCAACTTACTCGGATTGACCAAGATGCTTGTTAGGCGAACAGGGCACTTTTGATGGCCCTACACACTAGAGACACGACTGTATATCTGGCCGTAAAGTTAGACTTAAAGTCTATTCACAATGTTGGGCAATTATAATTAATTAAGGAGGAAAATGGCTGATACAAGACAGGCTGATTTGAGGTCAGCACAATCAGGAAGATAAAACAACAAAATCTTGTGTCAAAATCGAGCCAAAAGAGATTCATGATAACTGCAAATCCTGCGATACAAGAATCAACATCAACAAATTATAGTAAAATCAAGTTGAAGTAGTTTCCTGGAACTATACTGCCGGAAAGGTCATCCTCCGCCAAATTACCCACAAAAACGATCGCTCAAGGCAAACTTTTGTTATAGTGGTGTTGTGCCAGAAGGGCTACAACTGTCTATAAAGATTAAGGTATTCTTGATGGGTAGATATGTCTGTGTTGTGCAACAACATGGACAAGCTATGATAATTGAAGTGCATCTCAGCTATCTAAATACTGACGTTCACCAGATGAGATAAGAGTTGTACAAGATAAATTGCTACTTTGGCAATCAGAACTTAGTATAAATAGGAAAATAACTGTTGTCTTCATCAATAAATCTTTAGTTTTTGTGTCTGATCTTATTCAAATAAGTTTTTTCTTGTTTTTTGTAATATCGAACATTTTTTATAGTTACAAATTATAATCCTTTTATTCTTTGTGCTTAACATTGGTATAGCTTGTTGAGAGGCCGCCTAAGTCGATATGTTTCATATAGTGTAGGTGGATCTCGATATCTTGACATTATGGAGATTGAATCTATTGAGCTCCTAAGGCGCCAGTGCACAAACAATGGAATGGATTTGTAAGCATAGATGTGATGTGATACGATAAAATTTTTCTATGTTGCTATACTGTAAACATGGCTTGAGGAGAAAGTGAATGCAGCCTAAAGTGCATGATGCTTGTATGCAACATTGTGGTTGTTTGGCAAAGGTTTTAAGCCATAATGTGCACCTCACCACAAAGGGTGGACAGTTTTTCCACGCCTTGGGTCTATACTAGAGATTTCATAATGTTAAATACAGAGCATCTGGGTCATCAGACAGAAGTGTAATTTACTTACCCTTCTGGTAATGCAACCTACTACGCCGTCGTTTTAGGTCGAATTTTGTGCAAATTTAGTCGTTTTCAAGCACGAATAACTCATGCCACAAAGCGTTTTGAGCGCTTGGAATAGCACCAAACGACTCCTCTTGCCCACGCTTTACTTGCTGATGCTTTTGCAGTGAAATCAGGTTTGAATAGATTTCACTGCATTTTTTACAATATTCAAACTATATTTTATTTGTGTATAAAATAAACTGAAGATCCTGGAATTGAGTAAAAGAAAAAAGAGTATTTATACATTTGCAACTAGCTTGTAGGATTAGTGATGATAGAGAGCAATAGGTGCTGCTATTGCGATATCTGGCAAATGTTGTTGATGTTTGATTTAAAGTGGTAATCAATGCAAGAGCACTGGCCATAAGGGTCGATTTGAGTAATCTTGATGGGCTTGGAAGAGCTATTGCCATTGCTTGATTTAATGTAGCCTTGATAGTTTAAAGTATGATATTTGTTATTGAAGTGTAGAGCCCTTTATCTGCAGTACTGTGCAACTATGGCATTAGGGTATAGTTGTCATATTTGAATATGCTTGTTATTGATTTGATTTTATTTGAATAAAGATAACATCGCTCATTACGACCATCATGGGTGTGATTGAATACACTGTGGTCAGGAGTGATTTATTTACACGATGTGCGAGATAAGAGCGCATCTTTACTTTAGTATGTTTAAGTGATTGTTGAAGTACATTTGAGCGCTTTATTAATAAATTCGAATAGCATGAATTTGAATGAGTGATATTTGATGGATCCCGGTTTTTAACAAGGTTACTTTTCGGTTGCTATTTTAGAGTCTTCAACCTTTATCCAACTTTTTGGAGACCTCAAAAACATGATCAAAAACCATGAGGTATCCCTTATCGATTTCATCAAAAATCAAACGATCGCGTTTTTGACCTCAAAAATGAAGACTTTTACTATGACATACGAGCCTTTCAGCACTTCGGGTGGTTTCCTGACCTACGCTTCGCTTCGATGGAAACCAACCTACGTTCAAACGGCTCGCGCTGCCGCGGGCCTTTGGCTAATATCCCAAAATTAATATAGCTAAAATGTTAGAAGAGGAACCCTGATTGTTGATTGATATGTAATCACTAATCGTATGAGTGTTTATGCTTCGGATGGTTCTCACCGAAGCGTAGCAAAGGTAGAGAACCAACCTGCGCAGCGGCAGCTCGTGCTACTGATTGCTCTTGCGTATTTTATCAAAATACTGCTACTTTCATTTTGACCCTCCACTTACACATAGTAACCCTTCCTATTATCTGTGGATCTGATTCTTATGTGATGTTCTACATCCATATACACGTAGCTACTTCATATACGGGCAAGCAGCATACTGGTATTCCCACTTTTTAGTCCTTAGTGTCCCTAATACAGCAAAGTATGAGTGCATTTGAGCTGAATTTTCTTGCGTTCAAGGCCGTTTTAGATCGTCAGAATAGCCCCAAATGGTTGCTTTCATCTGGCAGTTACTTTCTGACACCCTTGCTCAACTTTTTGGGGACCAAAAAAACATGGTCAAAAATCGACCAAAAAGCATGAGGTATCCCTCATGGTTTTCATCGAAAATCAAACGATCGCATTTTTCATCTTGATAATGGAGACTTTTACTATGGTATATCTTGAATCAAAATGTTTCTATCAATCCAAAGCAACCTCTGAAATTATCTTTGTGGGACTTTGATATGTAAAATTTCGACATTTTGGCCATAAACCTCTTTTCATATTTTTACAAATCATTCAATAAGTGTATTCAAAACATCTATTTTACTTAGTACCATTGGAAGCGCCTTGAAAAGTACTCCAGGAAAGCTTAAGGAAGCATGGGGTGATTATCATACTTCACTTAGTCGAATCTGCAAAAATAGCTCGATCGAGTCCAGAATCATCAAAATTTGTCCAATCTGGAACAGACTATGATTCTGGGTTTGAATTAATTTTGGCTGGTAGGGCCAGCTGGAAAACTCATGCCCTTTTCATAAGGCAATACAGTAGTAAATGCCCTCGAAGCGTATAGAAAGTAGGTAGAAGGTCATAGCACTATCGTTTATAATGACATCGTCTTGCATTCTATATTTAATAACGTTAGTCTGGACATTGACAATGCATGGGTTGCATAAAATGTCTGCAGTAAGTAATGAAATCTCTGAGGCTCTGAGACGTCGCTCAAATAAAACATTGACAGCATTGAGCAGAGGAAAGAGGGTAGAAATTACAGTGGTTTTTGTTGATTGATTGTAAAATCATTATTCTCATATGAGCCAGGTCTGATAGATGCCTTGAAACTCAGGTTCCATATTAGGATTGTAAAGTGCAAAAGTACTGAACATTTATTATGTTATGATATGAGCCAGGTCTGATAGATGCCTTGAAACTCAGGTTCCATATTAGGATTGTAAAGTGCAAAAGTACTGAACATTTATTATGTTATGATATGAGCCAGGTCTGATAGATGCCTTGAAACTCAGGTTCCATATTAGGATTGTAAAGTGCAAAAGTACTGAACATTTATTATGTTATGATATTAGATCAGAATGATTGTGTCTACCCAAAGCAACCCCTTAAATCATTTTTGTGGGACGGACCTTGGTATGTAAAACTTTGACGTTTTGGTCAAAAACCCAATTTCATATTTTCTAAAAAAAAAAAAAAAAAAAAAAAAAAACTCAATGAGCTTATTTAAAACACATATTATAACTAGCACTGTTAGATGCGCCTTGAATAGTACTCTTAAAAAGCTTAAGGAAGCATGAAATTATCATCACAGTTTGTATAGTCAAATCCTCAAAAATAGTGGAATTAAGTCGTTTTTAATTAAAATCTGGCCAATCTAGAGCAGATATCGAGCGAAATTTTAGCCATTTTTGGATGCCTTTGCTATCAATGTATTCGATGCTTTTGAAGCTAAATAAAGAGACTTACGATTTGAAAAGTACTGTGGTTTATTCTACTTGATTGTTGTTTACTTTTGGTGGGCTTTTTTCATATATTTCACTCGAAGCACCCATTCTAGGTCGAAAGAAATTTCTCGTAAAAATCACTCGTTGCAATTTATAAATCTATGCAAAATGCAAAACCGTCGGCTTACTCAAAATTGCAAATCACAAACCTTACTATAGCCCATATTTTTGATTTAGGTGTGAGTTCTACTTCTCTACATTTTGTAGGCTTTACTATGATATTGACGCATAATGAGTATTGGACGTATATATATAAGCAGTATATCCCTTTTGCATTCGAGCTTTTATTGTATTTCGACAATGGATACAAGTGGGATTCAGCAATGTCAATCCAGAGCATTAGCATGATGAGCAGCCAAATCTTACCATGACAATGCTTTCTTAATACTGTTCCGAAATTGCAGCTGATGGTTTCGAATGAACCTTTCAAAAAAATTTTCTTGGTCTGGAATATACCTTGATCCTCGAATTATTGCAAAAATAGGTAACAATAGCAAAAGAAAAACTATAAAAACTCTTTTATTTTACTTATAAGTTTGAATAATATCTTTAATGACGGCGGTATCTGCGCTTTGGTAAGGGTGGAAGAGCTGGGAAGCATTTCTTGCGACTATTGCCTTGAATAGTGGATGGGCTGTGCTCTGTCTGGTCGAAGAATCTTTTTCTGGATTGCGCACTGTTAAAATCAGGCAGCACATGTGTTGTATTTGACATGTTTGAATGGCTCATAAGGGGATTACAGTAGTGGTATTTATTGCTGCTAGCGTTGGGGTTCTCCTTTTCATCACTCTTTGGTGCATGCTGAGGCGTGTTGACAGTCGTTGTAGCCGCTGTTGTTGTTTTAACTGCATTGGCTTTTGGGAGGTTGTTGTGGGCATTGGGAGGCACAGACAATGGTACCATATTTACGGGTTGAGTTGGATCATTGACCATGGATTTGGCTTGAGCTTCCTGATGATGTGGAATTGTACCCTCATTTATGGATGTAGCTGTAGTGCTCGTTGGATAGTTGACGTGAACATTGAGTGCGGGTGGACGAGCGGTGATGTGCTTGTCAGAACTACTCCTTTGCGTTGTGGAAGCACTGTGCAACGATCTTTTCTTGAATTTCTCGTCATTAAACCTCGATATATCATATGTTGGGGTTAAGAAGCTCATATGGCGGTCATTACTATGGTATTTGCTGCTACTGGCGTTACTGTTCTCCTTTTCACCATCATTTGATATATTTTGAGGTGGCTCGATGACCGTTGTAGCTGTCGCTTTAGTTGCATTGCCTGTTAAATGGTTGTTGTGAGCGTTGTAAGGTGTGTGTTCAGATGCTGGCGCCATATCCACAGGTTGAGCTAATTCACTGGCCTTGGGCCTGGATTGGGTATGTTGATTATGTAGAGTTGTATTGTGTTTGATGGATATAGTCGTATTGCTTGCTGAATGACTGATATATTCGTTAGGTAATGTGGCATCAGATCCAGCCGCCAAGCCAATAGGCTGAGCTAGTTCACTAGCCATAGCTTGAGTGTTTTGATGATGTTGGATTGAAGTCTGTTTGATATGTGCAATGGTCGGTATGTAATCAGATGATGGTGTTTTATTTACAGGTGGAGCCGAATCGCTGTACATGGGCTTGGCTTGGGTATGTCGATTATATGGAACTTTGATCTGTTCGCTAGATGTAGCTGTAAGCGACGATAAAGGTGAAGATCGGCTGTTCATCTCCCAGGCTTGGCCACTTGATGTTTGATCCATCTCATGTGCTACTTTGTCTGTGCTAATGTTGCCATTAGATGCTGTGGTATCAGACGCGTTCACAGTGGTGTTGCTAGACATCTCATATTCCATTAATGAGGTATGAGGAGGAGAGATGGGGTAGTCGTGAGTTGCATCAACAGCGTCTGCTTGAGTTGGTTTAACGGTGTTTGATTGGGTTGGTTCAACAGCGTCTTTTTGGATTGTTATTGAAGCTGTGCTTGTTTCAGTCAAAGGCACCAAAGGTTGTTCAACTGGAGATGGTGAAGTTGGAGAACTTGGAGACGATGATAAAGGTGTTTCAGATGCATCTTTCTTGCTCTTCATGCGCTGATAGAGACGTTTTACTGTGGAACCCAATGCTAATGGATGAGGACTATGTTTGTGCTTGATGTAAGACATCCATGAATCACGATCTCGCGAGTAGAAAGTAGGAAGATTAGCTGCTGATTTAATATTGGTTCCACGGAAAATCTTTCCAATGCCACGAGATGAGGTACTCTCAGATTCAGATGATGGTGGCTTGTTGCTATTAGTTGGTAAGCTGGTGGATGGCGATGTATCGGTTAGGCTCCTTGAAGCAGCAGTTGATTTACTGGTAACCTGTCGAGGCTTTCTTGGTAACACACCGAATCTTTTGTACAGAGCTTCAAGTCTTTCGCCTTGTGTTACCACTCTTGGCATAGACAAGTATGAAGAAGGCTCATCAGATGTTGTAGTCCATGAATCTGCCGCTGTAATAATATTACTGTTGTGTTGAGGTAATTTAGATACAGACAACACTTGTCTTGACCTTATTCCAAACGACGATGAAGGTGATGTGGGTGATGTGGGTGATTTGGGTGATTTGGGTGATTTGGGTGATTTGGGTGATTTGGGTGATTTGGGTGATTTGGGTGATTTGGGTGATTTGGGTGATTTGGGTGATTTGGGTGATTTGGGCGACTTTGGTGATGTTGCTGAAAATGGTACTCCCAAGTGTGAAGGCTATGAAAGATGGATGTCATTAGTTTGAAGTGTATCTTCAAGCATTTTGTAGGTGCTACTAACCATGATATTCTCTTTGGATGACTCGGTATAAGCAAGAAACTCTTTTACAATGCACTCTTTTAATGGATTATCCTGGGGCTTAGGCTTGGGGATGATCTTATTGACGCGGAACATGGTGGAGTCTTGCACGGTTGGAATTCTACCTAGCAACTTGATATCGTCTTCAGAGCATTCGCTTGGCAGTGGGTTTAAACGCTTGTAGTTCTTTTCATCAATGTCGTAGACCCACTGGTGCAAGAACCCAAGATTTGCAAAGTAAAACTTCTCAATATAATCAGCAGGGAAGTCTTTCTTGAATTGGTGCTGCAAGTTGTACAATGCTTGATCCGTGTTTCTGTTGATTTCGTATCTTTTCAGTATTGTTTTGAGGCCAACGCCCTTGATGGAAGGCAGGTAATCACAACCGGATAAAATACAGATATGTCGAATGGTTTCAGCGTCATATTCGTGAAGGGTGCTTCTGTGGTCATTCATGACTTTATCCATGCAGATTTCGATACCATCACCGTATCTATCAATCTTGTAGATGATCTTCGCACATCCAAAAGCCAAGAGATCGGAATCCTCAGTGACAACAGCATCCACTTTTCCTGTATTCACCAAGTGAGTAAGTTGAGCATCAGCTTCGTTGGGTGCTACAATGCACTGGATCTTCTTTTCCATCAGTCTCTGTAGAAAGTAGTTAACAAAAGGTACAAACTGTTCAAACAAAGAGAGATACTTACTCTAATGACAGTAATAATCATGTCATTCGAAATAGACACTGATTGTTGAAAGTATTTCTCAGCTGCGGCAGTTTTGCCTTGTTCATGCAGCTTCAGGCCCTGTTTCAATGCAGCTTGACGGTTTCTAGATCCAAGTGCATGTCAATGACAATGATGAGGCGCTAGATTGCACTTTGAAGACTTACTTGCGACGTTCATCCGTGGTGATTTGCTTTAAAGGGAGAGGGAGGCCGTCAAAAACCACGATAGGTGTGACACCATGATACTCAAGCAAGCCCATGAATTGCATGAAATAGTTTACATATCTACAAAAGATTCATGTCAATACAGACCCATTGAATAGACATCGATACTTACGAATCGGTAGGTTGGTTCAATGCAATCTTTGTTGCAGCACCGAAACCGCCACGATGAAGGATACAATGACCATCGATAGCGACAGTTTTGCCTTGGTATTCTGAGATATTGATGGTTCTTTGAATAGGGCGAAGTGATTGTAACAATCCTTGGATTCCCATATTGAGGAGATGTTTAAATAAGAGTTTTGTATTCTTTTTGTTCTTGATTTAAGATGGAATCAAGTAGTAGATGTGAACAGAAAATTGTTGCTTTGATATAAAATGAATGAAAGATTGTGATAAAGTTTGCAATGTATAAAAAGCTTTAAAGGTGTATTTATTTACGCGCCTTGCCCATCTAGTCACGTATCTGGCTTCCCAGAAAGATCAAAATCACTTGAAAGTTGATTCCAATCAGCCACAAAGGCATGTGCATTGTCCATGATTGGGTAGCGAGGATCTACTTGTAAAGGTGAAAGGCTGGGATGACGAGTCCATGTTTCTATACAACGAAACTGATAAATATTTTTAGAAATTGGTCGTTCAAAATTGAGTTTTGATTGCACTAAATAATAATAAACCAAAGGTCGCCTTTTTCATAAAACGAAGATCGTATACTGGACGTACTTTGATAGATACTGGCTGTACCTTTACAAATACTGGTGATACTATTCTAAAAAAAAAAAAAAAAAAAAAAAAAAAAAAAAAAAAGAGAAAGAAAAGCTGCACTTTATGCTTGCCTGATTGGTGGAAATCAACAATGATCCATGAACAGCATCCTGAATGCAATCACCATTGCCAGGTCGAAGGGATCAACTAAGCTGTTGTTAAATGATGGTCTTAGCATCTGCAGTACAGTATAAAGATTTTATAATTTTCTTGGTATTCCTTCAACCCATATCTGAAAATAGCAAATATCTCTAGCCTCATTGCCATATGAATATTTCCTATTGATAAAAGTAGAATTAATATAATACGCGTGTTTATGCTTCGGATGGCTCTCTGCCTTCGCTCTGCTTCGGTGAAAACCAACCTGCACAGCGGCAGCTAGCGCTACTGATTGCCCTTGCGTACCTTATCATAATACTGCTACTTTCATGTTGACCCTCCACTCACACATGAAAACCCTTTATATTATATGTGAATCTGATTCTTATGTGATGCTCTATATCCATATAAACGTAGCTACTTCATGTACGGGCAAGCAGCATATTGGTATTTCCCCTTTTTAGTCCTTCGTGTCCCTGATACAACAAAATCCAAGTACATTTGAGTTGCGTTTTTTTTGTGTTCAAGGCCGTTTTAGATGGCCAGAATAGCACCAAACAATTGCTATCATCTGGCAGTTACTTGCTGACACCTTCGTTCAACTTTTTGGGGATAAAAAAAAAACATGAATGATATTCGACCAAAAAGCATGAGGTAACCCTCATGGTTTTCATCGAAAATCAAACGATCGCATTTTTCACCTTGACAATGAAGACTTTTACTATGGTATATCTTAAATCAAAATGTTTCTCTCGATCTAACGTAACCTCTGAAATCATCTGTGTGAGACTTTGATATGTAAAATTTCGACATTTTGGCCAGAGACCTCTTTTCATATTTTTACAAATCATTCAGTAAGTGTATTCAAAACATCTATATAACTTGGTATCATTGGGTGCGCCTTGAAAAGCATTCCAAGAAAGCTTAAAGACGCAGGGGATGATCATCATATTTTATATAGTCGAATCAGCAAAAATAGTTTTATCGAGTCGAAAATCATTAAGATTTTTTTTTTTTTTTGTAGGGGAGACGAGCTCCAGGTTTTATTCATTAAGATTTGGCCAATCTAGAACAGACAATTATGAGTCTGTGTTTGAATTAGTTTTGGAGGCTGGTAGGGTTGGCAGGCAAACTCAATGCCCTTTTTATCATGAAGGCGATACAGTAACAGATGCTTTTGAAGCGTATAAAAAGTAGGCAGTAAATTACATAGCGTTATCTTTAGCCATGCTATTTTCTCGGATTCTACCATAGCATAATAAATGTTCAGTCCTTAGACACTTTTACAACTCTAATATGGAAACTGAGTTGCCAGGCATCTGTCAGGTCAGGCTCATATACGATTAATGATTTTATATAAATTAAATTACAATCAATTAGCAACCACTTTTATTCTTGTCACCTTTCCTCTGCTCAATGCTTTCAACGTTTTCTTTGAACGAAGATCAGGAGCCTCAGAGATTTAGTCAACGGCTGCGATCGAGACAACAAAACGAACATACTCGACCATTGAGAAGACCACGTCATAGTAGAAACCTAGATAACATATTGTTTGAAATACTAAAAAAAATGGAATTGATGTTTATTTTGTTCCAAATTTGATATTACTGATAACGTTCGGTTTAACCAAACTGATCATCTCTTTGAGAGAAATGTTGATTGTGATCTATATTCCCTTACTTACTGCAAACATGCTCTGCAGCCCATGTAGCGTCAATGTCCAGACTGACGTTATTAAATATAGAATGCAAGGAAAATGCCAAGTCCATTGATAGTGCTTTACTTTGTCACCTACTTTCCATACGCTTCAAAAGCATCTGTTACTGTATCGCCTTCATGATAAAAAGGGCATTGAGTTTGCCTGCCAACCCTACCAGCCTCCAAAACTAATTCAAACACAGACTCATAATTGTCTGTTCTAGATTGGCCAAATCTTAATGAATAAAACCTGGAGCTCGTCTCCCCTACAAAAAAAAAAAAAAATCTTAATGATTTTCGACTCGATAAAACTATTTTTGCTGATTCGACTATATAAAATATGATGATCATCCCCTGCGTCTTTAAGCTTTCTTGGAATGCTTTTCAAGGCGCACCCAATGATACCAAGTTATATAGATGTTTTGAATACACTTACTGAATGATTTGTAAAAATATGAAAAGAGGTCTCTGGCCAAAATGTCGAAATTTTACATATCAAAGTCTCACACAGATGATTTCAGAGGTTACGTTAGATCGAGAGAAACATTTTGATTTAAGATATACCATAGTAAAAGTCTTCATTGTCAAGGTGAAAAATGCGATCGTTTGATTTTCGATGAAAACCATGAGGGTTACCTCATGCTTTTTGGTCGAATATCATTCATGTTTTTTTTTTATCCCCAAAAAGTTGAACGAAGGTGTCAGCAAGTAACTGCCAGATGATAGCAATTGTTTGGTGCTATTCTGGCCATCTAAAACGGCCTTGAACACAAAAAAAACGCAACTCAAATGTACTTGGATTTTGTTGTATCAGGGACACGAAGGACTAAAAAGGGGAAATACCAATATGCTGCTTGCCCGTACATGAAGTAGCTACGTTTATATGGATATAGAGCATCACATAAGAATCAGATTCACATATAATATAAAGGGTTTTCATGTGTGAGTGGAGGGTCAACATGAAAGTAGCAGTATTATGATAAGGTACGCAAGGGCAATCAGTAGCGCTAGCTGCCGCTGTGCAGGTTGGTTTTCACCGAAGCAGAGCGAAGGCAGAGAGCCATCCGAAGCATAAACACGCGTATTATATTAATTCTACTTTTATCAATAGGAAATATTCATATGGCAATGAGGCTAGAGATATTTGCTATTTTCAGATATGGGTTGAAGGAATACCAAGAAAATTATAAAATCTTTATACTGTACTGCAGATGCTAAGACCATCATTTAACAACAGCTTAGTTGATCCCTTCGACCTGGCAATGGTGATTGCATTCAGGATGCTGTTCATGGATCATTGTTGATTTCCACCAATCAGGCAAGCATAAAGTGCAGCTTTTCTTTCTCTTTTTTTTTTTTTTTTTTTTTTTTTTTTTTTTTTTTTAGAATAGTATCACCAGTATTTGTAAAGGTACAGCCAGTATCTATCAAAGTACGTCCAGTATACGATCTTCGTTTTATGAAAAAGGCGACCTTTGGTTTATTATTATTTAGTGCAATCAAAACTCAATTTTGAACGACCAATTTCTAAAAATATTTATCAGTTTCGTTGTATAGAAACATGGACTCGTCATCCCAGCCTTTCACCTTTACAAGTAGATCCTCGCTACCCAATCATGGACAATGCACATGCCTTTGTGGCTGATTGGAATCAACTTTCAAGTGATTTTGATCTTTCTGGGAAGCCAGATACGTGACTAGATGGGCAAGGCGCGTAAATAAATACACCTTTAAAGCTTTTTATACATTGCAAACTTTATCACAATCTTTCATTCATTTTATATCAAAGCAACAATTTTCTGTTCACATCTACTACTTGATTCCATCTTAAATCAAGAACAAAAAGAATACAAAACTCTTATTTAAACATCTCCTCAATATGGGAATCCAAGGATTGTTACAATCACTTCGCCCTATTCAAAGAACCATCAATATCTCAGAATACCAAGGCAAAACTGTCGCTATCGATGGTCATTGTATCCTTCATCGTGGCGGTTTCGGTGCTGCAACAAAGATTGCATTGAACCAACCTACCGATTCGTAAGTATCGATGTCTATTCAATGGGTCTGTATTGACATGAATCTTTTGTAGATATGTAAACTATTTCATGCAATTCATGGGCTTGCTTGAGTATCATGGTGTCACACCTATCGTGGTTTTTGACGGCCTCCCTCTCCCTTTAAAGCAAATCACCACGGATGAACGTCGCAAGTAAGTCTTCAAAGTGCAATCTAGCGCCTCATCATTGTCATTGACATGCACTTGGATCTAGAAACCGTCAAGCTGCATTGAAACAGGGCCTGAAGCTGCATGAACAAGGCAAAACTGCCGCAGCTGAGAAATACTTTCAACAATCAGTGTCTATTTCGAATGACATGATTATTACTGTCATTAGAGTAAGTATCTCTCTTTGTTTGAACAGTTTGTACCTTTTGTTAACTACTTTCTACAGAGACTGATGGAAAAGAAGATCCAGTGCATTGTAGCACCCAACGAAGCTGATGCTCAACTTACTCACTTGGTGAATACAGGAAAAGTGGATGCTGTTGTCACTGAGGATTCCGATCTCTTGGCTTTTGGATGTGCGAAGATCATCTACAAGATTGATAGATACGGTGATGGTATCGAAATCTGCATGGATAAAGTCATGAATGACCACAGAAGCACCCTTCACGAATATGACGCTGAAACCATTCGACATATCTGTATTTTA